AACTATGCAATTTACAGATTAATAACATTTTCATCATCAAAAAATAATAGTTTGGAATAACAGAGCACGATAATGATAGCCAACACTAAAGGTTAGCTGCAGTTAGCAAAGGAAGCCATTGACTGTCCTTCAGAAAATAAATTAGCAAATTCCACAATAGGTCTGTGATACTTCAGAGAGATTAAAGAATCAGTATTGTCTTACTTAATTGCAATGTCTTTGTAAGTCCATGTATTTTAAGTTGAAGACAGCAACTTGGCACAAGAATTCTGTGTGTTGTGGTTATTACTATTTTTCCCACACTCAGAAATTATTATTGTATTTAAATGTGAGGTCTTTAAAAACTGTGAGGACACAAAAAGTTCAGATTTATTTTATGAAAATGTAATTTATTGAAATAATTTTGCATTTTATGAAGCATTAATCATGTGCAGAATGTCTGTATGGAACATTAATTTGGGGCAGTAAGAATAAGCAGCTGCAGTTCCCTGATACAGTATCTGCAGCTTTTGTATTAATTATCTCATAACATAGACTAACCGAAGTAGAAAATTCATTATGTTTAGTTAAATAGTAAGGAAATCGAAAGGCTTTTATTTGTTAATGTCAAGGTATTATCTTCCTAAAATCACTGGCCCTAGAGCTAGCAGATGGCTGATAAATATCAGCTTATAGAAATAGAAATATATGCATTAATTTTTTCAGTTTACAGCGTTTTTTAAAAAACAAACCAACCAGTTCTAACTGTATATCCGGGATGGTAAAAAGATGACTGAAATGCCTGTCCCATCCTTTAGTTACAGGTTTGGAGGGATTTTTGTCCTTCTGCCAAATTTATTTGGTTTTGCTATCACATTTCTTTTTGCCATATGTTACTCTTCCCCTTTGTGACAGATGATGCAGAGCTAGAAGTGATGCTCTATATTGCAGGAATTGTAAGTCACTTGCATACAATTCTTAGACATTTAGAATTAGCCACATGGGTATTAGCCCTTATTCTGGAGCCAGGAATTTTCAGTCCAAGTAATCACTTCCTCAGGGCTAAATTCACAAACCTCTGCAGAATGGCAGCCTTGCAGAGTACTGTCATTGAGTAGTTACGTGTGCTATAATGTTCCAGCTTACAATAGCAGATAATGTCTTTAAAGGCAGCACTGAGTTCTGATGGCAGTTCTAGGGTTACTGTATTTTCAGAAGAACGTTTAAGTGCCTGTGCTGGAACAGATGCTCAACGTTTACCGTACAGCCATATGATAGTACGTGATTAGTAGGTAACACTTTGAAAGGGCATTGGGTTATATGAGCATCAGATGTGGGGATGACGCCTAATAATCCCGTTCACAGCTGATTGAGAGTTGCTGCTCTAACCAGGTTTCTGGGTGTCTAGCAATCCTGGACAGATGGATGCAATCCTCAAGTTACAGCATGAGGAAGTACTCTTGTACTTTTCAGGGAGAACAGTACAGAGCTACAGAACAGTTGATAGTAGCTCCTTTCAGAGGGGTTGTCTCTCAAAGGCTGAGGAACCCTCACATGAATTGCGTGATGGTCACAGGACATGAATGACTGACTGGACACTGACCTGAGCAGCCTGATGTAATTAGACCTACGTTTAGCTGAGAGTAAGACTGAACTAATTATGGAGACATTGTTTGATTCTGGGAATCAAACAAAATCATATCGTTTTTAATTACAATGTTTTCTTTAAGTCATATGCAGTGATTCTAGTATGTTGAAAAAGTTTGAATAGCAAGTCTTTCTTCGGTACACACTGGCTGCTCAGTTGCCCATCTCATATGAAGTAATTACTAGTTGACTCTAAAGCACGGTTGATACGTACCCTGCTCTTCAAGTTTTCTATATTCTCTCTTTATATTTACTTCCTGTTTATTTTATTGTATAAATGAATTTATGAGTATAGTTCTGCCTGATTGAATGAGATTGTGTGTACTGAGGAAGAACATCTGTATAGTGTGTGGTATCACGTCTTTTTTTTTTTTTTCTAGATCTTTTTTTGACCCTTTACTTAGTGAAAGATACTGCTTGATATAACAGTATTGCAGTGTGCTCTTTATGTCCATGTCCATTCAATACTTACCAAGCTACAGATAATTTTTTATGTGTCTGTGTTTATACAAAAAGGAAGCACTATTAAAATAACTTACTTTCTCTTACGTCAGGAAGCTAAGACTGGTTAAATATGTTAGGGAATTCAGTACATTATGCTAGTGCTAAAACATGTTCCACATGTCTTTACAGTTTTCAGTAGCACTCTTTTTACTTCATTAATTAGCTAGAGTTGAAAGGCACTAGAAGAACTCAGGCTGATACAGCCTTTTCAAATATTTTACTTCCAATCTGTAAAATATATTCAAATGCCAACACAAATCATAACATTTACTGTATGTGAAAACAGATTGAACAGTTGTTTCCACCTAACATTTAAATAATATTTATCATGAAGATATATGTGGATTAAGTACCTATACATTTTAAGATACCTTCATTTTATTTTTGCATAGCCATAGCTGTTAATTTTGGAGACAGTCTCATTGCTTGAAATGACAGTAGACTCCAGTAACCTTTGAGCTAGTGACTTTGTATTACCTTGTACTAATTCTCTTAATGGCTACTAAAATTGATTGTAATAGGATTGCCTTGCATTGGCATTATACAAAAACAGAAGTACTTCTTGGCAGGTTCCTGAGTGGATTCATGTGATTTAATATGCATTTTTTGATTACTGTCTAACCTTCTACAACCTTTACTGTCTGTCTTTCACCATTAAAGATTCATCTCTCAGTCTTATCAGGTGAAATAATAGTCTGAATAGGTCTGAATTACCTCATCTTGACCTATTTTAAATCAGACAAATTTTGCTCAATAATTTCACTAGTCTGTATCTTTACAAGCTCATCACTGGAATAAAAAGTTCCTAAACATGTTAAAGTATGTATCAACTAATTAATCTAATTTTTCATCATATAGTATAACCTTGAGCAAGCATGTTTCAATGGCAAATAGCATTCTAGTTGAAAGGATTGTTTGGTTGATCATCTCTGTTACAGAAAATGAAGTTGAACATGAATGTGTTATCTCATTCCTAATTGGTTGGCCTGGGCCAGCAGTCCATCTGTCCTGGAGCTGTCTGACATCAGCTCTGCTGGACATGAAGGAAGCTTCTGGCAACTTCTCACCCAAGCCACCCCTGTAGGATCCTGCTACCTAAACCTGGCTGTACAAACCCAATATACAGCTGTAATAGAAGGAGAAATTAAAGAGGTGCAGAGTGTCCTGAGTTAATAGCAGATTCTTTGTGCTGAGCTGTCAGCTGATTGCAAGAGTTGGTACAGGAAGGTGTCATTATAGCAAACATGGAAATCCCACGTGCTTGAATTATGATATGTAGTCTTGGATCAGGAGGCAATTTTCATCTGGTTGTTGTAATATATTTTTGAGTACACATGCCTATTTATCATTATTTTTTTTCCAGCTCCCTATAAATTGCCAGGAAAGAAATAATTCTTTCAATACACAATACACAATTCACAATAGAGAAGCACAAGTACAATTTTTATAAAAATGTCGATCCATAATATATGCAAATGTATGTATAGTTAAATTGTACTTTAGTCTTCCATTGATAGAATGAAAGCATCAAGAGGGACTTAAGAATAAATAATCCTGTGCTTAGATGCGTGCAGTTGTACAGGCATTGATAGCTGTCGACATAATGATGTTTCTATCCTATTTCAAAATACAAATAGGTGTTTCACAGTGTTGTTCAATTTAATGAAGTGCTAAAAAAGCTATGTCACTAAATGTGTTGGATTGCTACACAATGAAGGAAAAGTAAGCAAACTGGAGACTTATTTTCAAGAGAGTCACTGTGAAGCTCTGCCATCTTAGGTAGGAGCTCTTCAGGTTGTAGCTTAGTTACTGGTAGACCTGGAAAGTGATCCCAATTTGGAAATTACAGCTATTGAGAATGGCAGTGCAAGGTTACCTATGCAGGGATGCATCTGGTGTCTTTTCTGCTCTTTTCATCTTCCAGATCCTGTAATTTCTTTAGTCTTGTCTTAGCTTTTCCCAAACAAATGGGAAGATGGAGTTCTGGGAGGGATGTTTCACACTTGCTTCGGGCGTGCCCTTTCTTTGTCTTCTCAGTGACTAAGCCTCTTAACGGCACCTCTCTCTCTGATATCTACTTCTGTTGCTGGCTTCTCTACGAACTGCCAGTGCTGGACAGCACTTCAACCAGTCTGCTACTAATCTGCTGCTCTTGGTGCTACAGATGCTCTCTTTGGTCTGATGTAGTTTTTCTGCCTTCACTATTTCTGGTCGAAGAATCCATCCTTTCCATCACCAGGTGCCTGTACAGTTGCCTGTCTGCCGTTGCGTGCGCACAGGTTCGGCTTGTGAAACTCCATCCTATGGTATAAAATTCCAGCACATTGCTGAAACACTTCTGCTGTCAATTCTGTTTCCTCTTTTCATGTCTCAGCATAGGAAAGCAGGTTGGGTGTTCATTATTACCTGCCTAAATTGAACCTCTGACCTATTCTGGTAGGACTTAGATTAGCATTGCCTTAATGAACATGAAAATGAAAAGAGAAAAAACTGTCATTGGTGTCTCAGCCTCATCTGTAGTAAGATGTAAAAATACCTGTGCTACAACTGTTTATAGTAGTTTGCAAAGGAAATTTTCTATTTCTTGGTAACTGTAATTTTATAATTCCTTTATACAGCAGGTATTTATTTCTGAGGACCTTCAGCAGGTATTTATTTCTGAGGATCTTCATTGGGTTTTGAAGGCATACCTAAGCAATGCAACTGAATTAAATTAATTAAAAAAGCTGTGGAACATACATGCTTGTACTATTATGTGGGGTTTGGTTTTTGTGGGGGGTTAAGGGAATTTTTTTAGCATTATTTGAAAAGTTCTATTTAGCACCCTGGAGGAAAACCATTAAACAACTCTGCATTTTTTTTTTTTTTAGTGTGCAGTGACCTGGAATTCAGGGAAGTTGCAAACAGATTGAGAGACTGGTTTAAGGCACTTCATGAAAGTGGAATTCAGAATAAGAAGACTAGGATTGTTCAAAGGCCTGAAAGAAGCAGTAAGTGATTTCTGCTTGTTTTATTTGATGGTTTTTTTGATCCTTTTCTGTTGTTTTTCCATTGCTAAGACCTGCTTTATTCTCATGTGCTTTAAGTAGGTATGTGTGCAAAACTATAACTTTGGGCTTATCTGAAGTTTGTTTCCTATTTATGGCTTAGTACTAATGCAAGATGTTCACTTTAGGTTTTCGATATCGTTTGGCAGGACAGCTACCATTCACAATGCTTGAATTTGTGAATGCTATCAAATTAAAGGAAATAAATAAAGGAGCTTAAATTATGTGTGACCCATCTTTGCTAGTTGATGTCACTGTAGGTACTGGTACAGAAAAACAGATGAAAAAGAAGATTGTAAGTAAAAAGGAATTTTTAAGGGTATACTTGAAATTGGAAAAGACTAAGGAGTACTAATGAAGTGGAAACAGTAGGGGGCATAATTTTTTAACTCCCTCAAATATTTAAATAGATTTTTTTTGTTGTGGAAAGTAGTTGCATTTTAAAGTGTAATTATCAAAGGACTTATTTAGAAGAGCAATTGAAGTGTGCAATAATAGTTCCAAAAGTGAAGTCCTACTGTGAGGGTAGTCAAAATGGATCTCATAAACCACAGAACTCTACCTTTTGTTATTATGAAGAGCAAACTATGAATTCTTCCAGAGTATATTTCACAGAACTTGACCACCGCTGGCTTCTTACTTTACTTATTTTATTTTTAGCTTTTTAAGTATTTGAGATTTTTTTTTAGCTTTTGTTTCTTTCAATTTGTAGCATTACTTTTTCTTTTTTTTTTCAAGAAATACATTAATTTCACTTAATTGGAAATGCCATTTCATTGTGTGATTTTTTTTCTTGCTAAGAAAATGTGTATAATTCTGTAAACCAGAATGAATTAAAGATAGTTCTGTCTTATCTGGGAATACTTTTCTTAACATTGAGAAAAATTGTTTCTGAGGTAAGATGGTAATACAGAAATGCCACTTTTTATTGATACTGAAAAAAGTTACATTTAAACCCATATATTCCAGTTTACATTCTGTTTAGTGCCCATAATTGGCAGATGATTTGCTTCCTGTGCAGTAGAGTAAACAATAGAAGTACAAAGTTTGAAGCCATTAAGTAAGAATTTGTTGTATAGTTAAAAAGAAAGTGTATCTAATTATGTTGGTTAGTGTATTGCTCAGTTGAAGGTTAATTGAAATATGTAGTGTACTGTTTCTTGCTGAATTCTGACTTTGAAATTTGGGCAATGATAAAGGAAGCAACTGTATAGCTATTAAGTATTATGTCCTGCATAAATAACAAATCAGTGTTTCCAGAAATTGGATTCCATGTAGTGCAAGAAAGTAAAATTTATAATTAATACTTTGAATACAATGAGGTATTGAGTGCAAACAAAGTTCTTAACAGTGAGATTTTTACCTTGGCTTTTCTCCTTAAGCACATGGGTGGTTTTGATAAGACTTACAATCTCTACTTGAAACAGGGATTTGTCCTGTGATGTGAATGTGAATATAATATAATCATATTTTTTATGTCACTTGTTTGTTTGCAAATTTTTACTTTATAATAGCAATCAAAGACTATATTTAGAGTTAAGATTCAAGATTTTAATATATGAGGCTAGAAATAGAAGAATCTTGTGGATTTTTTGGCACTCAGTTTTGGAAGCCTTCAAGTCATAAAGTTCTCTCCTTTGGCATTGTACAGAATCTGCACATATTTTAGGAGGTACATGAAATTTAAGGCACAATTTAGATTGCATGCTATTCTGCCATTTTTGAGACATAGAATCAAGTGTTGATTTGGATGGCTAAGAATAGACTTTGCAGGGCTCTTTTTCATCAGCAGGTAAAAGATTGGAATCTCTGTGGAAACTTCTGTTTCCTATATATTACTGACTTTAAATTATTTGTCAATATTATTATATTGTCCTGTTATAAATTTTGACTTGTTTTTATCATGGTATCAGAATTTGGAATGTTGTCCTAAGTATTAATTTATTACTGATTCTAAATTTGATTGAACGTTGATGATAGGCTTTGGAATGCTTATTTTCTGTTTACTAAAATAAAGCAAATCAAGTTTTACAAAATGTTTACATGTGAGACATTCAGTTTGTCCTATATTTTCTTCTTTTTCTTTTCAAAAAAGAGATATTCAGCAAAAACCTACAGTGTTTCATATTTGAACAATAAGTTTTCAGTGGATAATGTTTCAATAGTGCGGTCAGTTACACAAATTGCATGTGCCACTATATAATATAGTGAAAAAATACTGTGTTTAGATATAAACATCCTATTTGTGCAGAATTTACTCGATTTTATAAATAGCCAATATTTAAATGTTTGTAATGATGTGACATGCTACTGCTGGAAGGCAGTCCATCTATGGACAGAAACCAATTCAATGAATGTATGTTCAGTAGTAGTTTTTTTTTCATTTGTAGATTTGGGGATGCACAAATTATTTTAAAACTGGTTTCAGTAGTGCTGTATGTTTTTCCTGTTAAGTAAATTTCTGTATTTCAAAATTTCGCATTTAAGACAGCAAAATACATATTGCATTTTATGAGAAATGAACAAGTCTGTTGTTTAGAAGAAAATATTGTATCACTATGTTCCTGAAAATGCAAAAAGAAACATAAAATGTGATAGCCATTTAACATGGTAATGTCCTTCCTTATACCATTAAAAATTTCTTTAAATTGTTCTTGAAGAGCAAAGTTCTCAAGTAATATCCCTTGATGGCTGCTTCCAAAGTCATAGGAGGTCCAAGACATCAGGCCTGTTGATATCTAAGTATATCAGGGCATCCAGGCCATACTGATACTGCCCAGTCCCTATTTTGGAGGTGCCAGAAAGCTACAGCTAGAAATAAAACTTGCAAAGAAATTCTTATCATGTCTAACGACTTTACACTTAGCACATGAGACATGGTACCAGCTAATAAATAATCCACTTTGTTCCATACAATCATTAATGTACCTAAAAAACCAAACAACAGTGTTCTGCTAGAGCCATCAATATGCTGTTAACAAGTTAAAAATGTCAGGTGCCTACATTGCTGTGTTTTTACAAAGTAAGGTAATTTTGTATTATTGACACTTCTTTCCAAAGCGGAATGTTATGAATAATCAAGAGTAGGATATTTCAAAAAATAATAGGATATTATTTCCAAAATCCCTTTTGGGTCCAGATGTGGTCAAATGTAACGTATCTAAAAGTATCAGTAATATAGATGCTGCATACACACTTAAATCTTTTTCTTAGGCCATTTATGGTCTGAATAGATGACACAAAGGGTAAAAGTAAATTTGACTCCCATACTACAATAAGACACCCATTATTTTTGGCTTATGGATCAGAATATGTGGAGTTAGAAAAAAAAGTGACATTTTATATACCTGTTTAAAGTCTATTAGAATATTTGTTTTATTTCTATATTAGTTTTGTATGATAAAACACAAAATGAATGCATCATATGCAAGCAAAAAAAATACCATAGTCCCACAAATATTTCTGGTAACAGGCAGTCTGTTTCTGAGAAATACTTGTCTACCTTGTCATGTTAAAAGATGAAAGACCAGAGGCCAAAGGTAATAAATGGAGACTCTTCTTATGGCTTGTTAATAATACGATGATTTGGAGCCTAATACACTAATAATTTTGAAAATAACCTAAAAATACAGGAAGTCTGAAAGCAGATTACTTATAAGTGGCTTGTCTGGAACTAGCATAGTAAGATATTATTACACTAAAATTGACAAATCCCTATACAAAATTGCAGTAAGAAAAGACTAATTTTTTTTAAAAAGTCAATAAAATAAGCAACTTCAGATTTTTGTTTGAAGATTTTAATTTCATTCTGACTGTCCTCAGTTCCTTATTGATGAAGAGATAAGCTGATATTATGCAGTGATAAATTATATTTCCCTGATCTTCACTGCCAAAGCATGTTTGAAAACCCTGATATACAAACAGAACTCATGAGAATAATAGGGTTTTCCTTACTCCTAGAATAAGAAATGAACTCCTAGAGCTGGAAAGAACTGTGGGTTTTTGATGTCTTCAAAACACTGATGGCTCCAGAATTTGTCTAATTCCTGAGATTATTTCAGAAACCTGAACTGCAAAGTCGAATAGGCTGACAACCTGAACCATAGTTCTAGTTTACTAGAAAGAAAAGGTTCTTCCAATGAATTTCTGCATGTGTCAGGTTAGCTCATGCAAAGGCACCCTCAATGCAAGGGCCTGGAAGAAGAAATCCAGCCGGAATTAATTCTGAACAGGAATTTTAATGGATCCATCTCTACTAAAAACTAAGTCTCTAAATGAACCACATGAGTGTTGTTGACTGAAATTGGTTTTGTGTCAATCTTTCGTACAGAATTATCCTTAAACACAATGAAACATGGGGGTTATTTTATTTTTTTATTTATTTTTTATTTTTTTATTTTTATTTTATTTTATTTTTTCCTCAGTTATCTTCTTTCCTGTAACAGTCACTCCTGTTAATAAAATAGTAAATCTGGTGTCCCAAATAATAAATTTTATCTGATCCCTCAATATATTAGGAAACTGACAGCTTCTAGGAATAAGATTTATGTTGCTTCCCCCATTCCACCCCCTCACTCCTCCACCCCCACTTCCATATAAAAGTTTTCTGGAGGAGGCTTCAGAATGGAAACTTTCACAGGGGCATTGCAGCTGTACTTAATTTCTTTCTCTTGTACCTTTTGTTGTGACATGAGAGTCAGTTTTCCTAGGTTTATCAAAATACCTTTGGTACCTTCATGTTCTCCAAGGCCAGGAGTTGGTCTTCACTGATTCTTCTGGGTCCTTTCCAGCTCAGGATATTCTGTGATTCTGTGCCTTGCCCTAACCTGGGCTCTGCTCCTCTCTGTGTGCTCTTAGTGAGCAGGAATGTATTACAGCCTTAGACAGGGGACAGAGTGTTATGCCTAAATCTGTCCCCTGGATCTTGTGGAGCCAAATGAGGCTCACCAAGATAAACCATTTTTGTGATCTAGTACTAAAGCATTCACCTCTGCTTAGCCCTCTTTGCTTTAGTCTTTCCTGCTCTGCTCTGTCCTGATTGCATTAGGAAGGGAAACATTTTCCCAACTTGTGCACAGTAGTTTTCAGCTGAGAGATGCTGTTCACTGAAGGTTTTCTGCTGAACAGAATATCCATTACAAGAGAAAACCTTCTTGCTATGCAGCCTGCACACTGAACAGGTAAAATCCATGGTCTAGATGTCAGCCAGGAGTCTGACAAAGAGTGCATGTGTGTTTATCCACGTGTTGATTTTCCAGCGTCTTTTATTGCTTCAGACAGCACACTGGTATTGGAAAAAATTGTGCACTTCTTGGCATTTTAGATAAACAATTTCTGTATAATGCAGTATGTGAGCTCTGTGTATGTATGCTGTTTGACTTCCACGTGGTTTCAGAAGCTGGCTTCCTCAAATGTGCATATTACTTATGTGTTTAATAAGCAGGCAAACAATGTTTTTTACCTTGGAAAGCAGATAAGAGATGAAATTCTCCCAAGAAATAACTAGAAAGAGGAGCATTTCTGTTGGTTCCTTTTGAGCAAATGCTTTGAATGCCCAGTATGTAAGCCATGGAGGATGGTTACATTTCTTAATAATTTTTCCCTTGTGATTGTTTTGACCAGGAAAAGAGCATGAGCTGGTGCTTCATATTTTTTAGATAGTGTTCAGAAATGGCTGCATAAAAGTTCACTTCATTATGGTATATGGAAATAGATTTTGAGTAAGTGGTTAAAATGAAAAACATCTTTCATAATTTAGTCATCTTAACTGCAGTTTTTGCTCTCCTCAGCGTAATGTCCTGGTACTTAATCATCAAGAATAAATTACTATCATTCAATTATACTAATTATTCCTTAGTTTCTGCTTATTGCTTTATGTTACAACCGTGAAAAATGTGTAAAACCAGCATTCTAGTTCCAAGTGATAATATATGTATTATGTGATTTGGGCAATAATTCCTGAGGTCTAGGTCACCTGGTGATTTTTTGATTCTTAGTTCTGTATCATCTGACACCTTCAGGTGATACAGACATTCATGTCAACCATGTTAGCAGATATTAAACTCTAGATACATACTTCAAGGCTTTTCTGACTCTTTTACCCAAGTATATCAGCTTCAAGATGTATTATTTTATCAATATTACAATAGAGAAAGCAAGTCATTGTTGAGAGAAGGTACTTCTGATAATTCTAAGTTTGGACAGTTCAGTAAAGGTTCTTTTAAAATGAACCAAGAATTTTGCCACAAGAATCTCTAAAAGAGTTGGTAATGTGTATATAGACCCAAAGCGATGATCTTTTTGTGGTGTAGCAGTTCTGGAGGAGATGGAATGCTCCATTTTACATCAGACAAAGTTGTTTCTATCTCTGTCAAGACCTGCCTGGTTTACCTCTGAAATACTTGAGCCATATTTATTTATTATATTTATTTGAGCAAAGCTAATATTTGACCTAGATTTCAGATGGTTCTGTATTGCAGTGACTGATGATTGTGAAAGACTTTGGCTTGATGAAACAAGACCAATGAAAACTAAGAAGAAATGTGATTTTTCTCTATTTACAACAAAATTGTATATACTAAACAAGAGGAAGAACACAAAACTAGTAAAAACAACACCAAATATATCTGGGCTGTAAATGAAAATACAAACTACTTCAGAATTGAACTCTGATAAAAGAAATATAAATTGCTTTTAAGGTAAAGCATGATCAGTTTTAAAATTATTAAATCAAGCATTTATTTAGTAGAAGGTTAGACCCCATGAACCATAGTGCTTTTTTTCTTCCAGTATCTGATGCTGGTTAACAGATAGGTTATGACAGTTTTAATAACTGTAAGATTTTCTTATATGAAATGTTATTGTTTGAAGTAGGTTTATTAGTTCTGATGTACTGGAATAATATATTCTCATCTTCTAAGAAGACCATGTCACGAATATCAGACTTCATACTCTATATTTAAATATTCAGCTATGGTTATGTTGACCTTTGACAGGATTTATTGAAAATATTATAACATAATAACATTTTTCTGGTGCTATCCTGTTGGTATCAGTGATCTATAATAAAATTATATGCCTTTTATTTATATTGCTGACTCCAATGCAAATTTTTTTACTTTCAAGTTTTGTCCTTAATTATGAAAAATGTAATATCACTTTTTCAAAAATCTTAAAGCTGTATAGAAAGAAGTGAGAAAAAAATTGAGGAATGGGAACAGAGGATGCACTCCAGTTACAGGCTAATCGTAGTTAAGGAAATAAAGAAAAACACAGGGATAAAATCTTATGCAATTGTATAATATTGTTCCAACCTTAATTTAGTGGTGTATACACCTTTGAAATGTTCAGTTCTCTTTCACTATTTTTCAGATAAATTTGTTTATTTTTAGAGTATAATTTGAAACTGACTGAGGAGTTGGACTTGATGATCCTTTTGGGTCCCTTCCCATTCTGTAAAATAAGCAGATGTTTGGGGTGGGGTGGGGGAGTTACTGCTTTTCCTTAGTGTAGTTTATTAAAAACATAAAACTGCCTTCTAGTATCCTAAAATTCAAATGCTTTATATGAGCTTTGCCAGCATGAGCCACAAATGCTGATTTAAAAATACTTTGTCACAAGCTTGAAAGTGATGCCTCTTTCAAGAAACTTCAGCTTGAATTTCCACATGCAGAAGTATTATCTTCGGTTACTTTGGCCCCCAAGGTCTATCCTTAAGTACATCTTTAAAGTGGCTTTTATCTTAAATTCCCTTCTAGTTGGCATCTAATTAGTTAAAATCATAGTTGTTCTATTTCTGCCCCATCTATTATAATTCGGTGAGCTGGCCAGAGTGCTAAATTCAGAAAAAAAATTGTGAGTATAATAAAAATTTCTCCTGTGATGCACGTACACAAAAGGCAGGATAGGCAGCATTATGTTTCACTTGACCTCTTCTGGTACCCAAGGTCATGAGGAGGATCTCTAGCTAAAAGCAGAATTAAGAGAGGATGTATTAAGAAGCATTCAGGAGCAGAGTCTTGCAGGTAAATAATGTTACACTGAACGTTAATCCTTAAAAAAATGTTTTAAGATGGAGGAACCTTCCAGTTTTTTTCTAGTCTGAAACACCTGTTGGAAAATTCTGATACCTTTTACAGATAAGGTTGCATAAGACTTTTACTCTATATCCTTATTCATTCAATTGGGTCCTGTATCTCTCTGCTCTTCGTAATCCACAGAAAGTAAATTTCATCCTGATGTTTTATCAGGGGCTGAAGAGGAAGGGAAAGAGATCTCTGGCTGAATGATTTGGTATGTTTTTAAGTTGCGTTAAACACATGAAAACTATATAAATATGAAATGGCTGGCTTAAATATTTTTGCTTTTTTTGTCTTCTTTCTATCAAACAAAAATAATAAATAATGCAACAGATCATCAGGGAACTTGAAAAAGTGAGATCACCCTGATGAGAATTCATAGTTAACTTAGAATTTCTGGGGAAAAGGATTTTATGTGTTGGTCTGAGTTGCACAGGGAGTTTTGATGCTATCAGCTATCTTTTTCTTTCTGAGATGGTCATTCTACCACAGAGTAGTATATTTACATATATATCTAAAAGGACATCTAATGACTTCTAAATGCAATTATTGGATGAAACCTGTTAAGCAGTATAGAAGCACTTTTCAGATTTCCTTACCGTTGTCAGTAACAGCAAAAGCAGGCAGGCTTGATTTTCAAGAGCAATAGAAATAGGGAATTCCTGTGTGCACTCACGTCAACTTTTCTATAGCCATCTCCATCTACCCATCTCATTTTTTCAGTGCTCAGTTTTAACTTAAATTTTTGAGAAGAATAATGATTAGTAGCACTAAATCTTCTTCTGTGTTAGAGTGTGTACTCGACTGCCTGGCCCCATTGGCCTGTGGCGTGACCCACAGTACATGAACCAGAGAAAGAATGTATTTGTATCATCTGCAGCTCACAGCTTCAACAGAGGCAAGAGGCATGGTGGTTTCTGCATTTCCCTTTCATGTCCATAGGCAAGTCTGCATGTACTTTAAAGTTCATGCAGGAAACATCAATGGGAGGTGTGGCTACAGGAGTAATTAACTCAGCCTGTTCCATTTGACCATTTTTTCAAGCAGTGATTTAGGAAGGTGTAAGGTGTGTAGGTAAGTACGACACTGGCAGCCAGCTGCTCTTAGCAATCATCTTTTCCATGGCCTCCTCCAAGACAGAAAGTACACCATGTAAAGATAAAATACAATTTTGAAAGCATTGCTGAGACCAACTATCATGTTCTTTTTTCATAGATTTAAATGTATCTTATCAGAACAACAAAAAAAAAAACAAAAAAACAAGCACAGACTCCTACAAGTTACCTGGAAGTCATTCTCTTCTTGGTTTTGTAAACTTTGCAAACCACTGAAGTTTCATTCTCCTGATTTATAATATCACTTAAATTCCTCATCAGTATTATTTTTCAGGAAATCATTGTATATCATTTATTATTGTACATAATGTGCATGCTTTATGTATAATATTTGACACAAAACCTCATATTTCTGAAAGTTTTGAGGGTGACTGTAGGATTGATTTTTTTGGCAGGTTAATTTAGTGACTTTAAAAGTGAATCTGACATATAATTTCTGTGTGCATTTCAATAACATAAACTGTTGATTTATGTTATCTATGTACCACCAGAGTTACTTCCATGATGCAGCATTCTTTCATGGTGGCTGGGATCAGCAGCTGATCTAGCTTTCCTCCTACATAATTTTTATTATTTTTGTTTTGCCTCTTAGGATTTGATACCAGCATTTTGCCAATTTGCAAAGACTCCCTCGGCTGGATGTTTAATAGGCTCGATACGAACTATGACCTGTTGTTGGACCAGTCAGAACTTGGAAGCATTTACCTTGACAAGAACGAGCCATGCACCAGGGCGTTCTTCAATTCTTGTGACACGTACAAAGACAGTTTGATATCTAACAATGAGTGGTGCTACTGCTTCCAAAGACAGCAAGGTAAAAGATGAGATCAACCTGTATATGACTGACCTTTTGTTTGGCTTTATCTTTTTATTAACATATTAAAAAGATTACAGTGAACTACAAGCTCTGAAATGCTGTGCAATGAATTTGTGTTAAGGTTTGTGTCATACAGTGAACACCTAAAATGAAGTAACCCCCCCCCCCCCCAAAAAAAAAAAAAAAAAAAGGATAAAGGACTCAGGCTAAATGGAAAAGCTTGCTAGAAATTCAAGGATTCTAAATAAAGTGCAACACTGCCACTAATGCTTTTGCAGCTATATTGTTCCCCATGCCAAAATTTAGTATGTATGTAGAGGAATAGAGATGAAAATAAGGAACAAAATTGCTTAAATTATTTCTTTCCCAGTCTACTTTGCCTACATTAAAAAATTAACTTTTTTATAGCTAATGTAGGGTATCTTAATGTTCAATGAGCCTAATAAAATAGCTGAATGAACATTATGGATAAAGTTATTTCCAGTCATTTAGACCTAAAACAAGTTGGTTTTTATTGCCTACTTGAATCTCTTTTTAATGTTCTGATGTAATTTTGGTTAGACAAATAAACACAACCTATAAGCATTGTTTTCCTGAGGAATATATAACAATTTTAGACATAGGTGAGACATCATGTAAACTATATAATCAAGTTATTTGTAACATATCAAGAAATTCACTCATTGAATAATGTGTGAAGTTGGTCAGAATAACCCTTGCATTTTTCTTACTAACATTAGGGAGCTTTTCTAAACTAGGGTTCAAACTTCTACTGCCGATCAAGGAGATAAAACTGATTTGGTGAAAAGTTTGCTAAACTAATTCAGCCTTTTTGAAAGTTTTACTATCAGTCTTTAAATCTCACTTGTACCCTTAAAACTCATGATAAATTCCATTAGCATTCAACATTAATGGTTTCATTCTGATTTCTGTGAAAATCAAGGTTTTTATCATGCCACATCTGCCAGTTGGAAATCTAAGTAAAAATAAAGCTGTACTTCTGTAGATAAATACTAAATAGCAGATATCTCTACTTCGTTAACTTTTTTGTTAAAATGTTAACATTTAAGCTTTCAAAAGATTGTGTTTGTTTTATAGTAGAACAATAACTTTTGCTGGATTTTTTTATATGCCTGTATATAGTGCCACCAACACTAGCAAATTTAAAATAGCCCATCCCAGAAGTAATGAACCTCTTAAAGAACATAACATGTTTTGTTCATTTGTCTATAAAATAAAAAAAGACCACAATAATTTCAGCTTAATGTATAAATACCCTTAGTCTTTGGATGGCAGTATAATTCTTTCCTATTGCCAGAGGAAGTACAGCAAATTACACATGGCCTACTATGGTCCAAGGTTTTTTCCAGGAATTACATATAATGTATGCATGGCATAACCAGGGCATTAAGAAAACGCTTCCACAGACCAGTTTCAAGTAGTTTTGCATTTTCTTACCTAATAAACACATTTTGTGCGTAATATTAGTTCAGTGTACTGTTAGAACCTGAGGATGGTATTATAAAGACTGATCTAAACACTATGAAATGGGACTCCCAACAAATCCATCTTTCAGTGGCACTGATTCTTCACACAGCAGAACTCAACATTATCAAGCTTTTCTTCCCCTTTTTACCAGTTTCCTCACTGTCTTGATAATGGTGTTCATATAAGGTGGTGATTTCAAACAGATTAGATAGTCTTTGATACAACAGTGTGTTTGAGAATATAGTAAAAAGATGTCTCCTAAATATTGTATATGAAGTGAAATCTCAGTTTCAGCAGCCCTTGCACATTAAACATGCACTTCATCCTTCAAAATGAACAATGTCATCAAAATCTGTATTCTCTGTTCTTCGGTGTGAGAAAGAAATCTTATAGTCTTCTTTTGTCATGTCTTATTATTAGCTGTTGCACAACTGTCTGAGCCCTACTTCCCTAGTGAATTAGTGACCCATTGAATTCTCTTGTTTGTAATTCGCATTGTTATGCCGAGCCGTGGAATATATGTTCATGTCTGGTTATATTTTACTTGATGGAATGATCAAAATAAGGCCTTAAACTAAGCCTTTCTGAAACTTTCAGCAGTTTCTTTCTGATGTTTATTAAAATAAGTTGATATTAACAGAATGCTTCAAGCCATGTAGTAGTACTTTCTGGGCAGATCAGTGGCTTTACAGTACTGTTGTTGATTAATGTTCTAAAGGAATACAAAATTTAGTCAATCATATATATCATACTGGGATAGCAATTTCATTGTGCTTTTTAAAAGTGCACAGTATTTGCTGGAGTCATTATCTGAGAAGTTCTCATGGTCTTTGATCTTAGTTTTACTGTGCAAGATTGTCAGGATTGAACAAGTACTTGAAACTCTTCTCACTCTTTCTTTCTGCTGGATTGCAATACATTAGACCTATTACTGAACATTGCTAACTACCTCTAGTCAATATAGGCAACTTTTTGATGAATCCTGAAGTCATATCTTTCTTGTGGAGAAGATTATCTTTCTGTAGTAGATGTCCCGCCTTCGTGAATGGTTAAACACTGAGGTACAGTCCAGTGATGCTTATTGCATTTTTTATTACCCTTACTCTGCTTTAAATGTAGTTCAGTATTTCTGAGGTATATCCAAGGCCTTAAAATGCATTTCTGCAATACATCAAAATCTGCACTGTTCCAGCGTTCCTTGCAAGTCTTTCTGTACACTTTGATCACTATGGCGCTCCAGTTTCAACAATCCATGCAAGTGTTTCAGCACCTATCTTCTTAGTTGTTCAACTTTCTTAGTTGTTCAATGACACTTTAGTGCTTACCTAAATGCTGGAGCCTTTGCAATGTTGGCCTTTTTACAGGCTGGTTTTTTTTTCTGCCAGTAATCTATTACTGCAGCCTTGTTTTGTTGTATCACTGATTCAGAGTAGGGGAGTAACCAATTTTGCTGAGAGTGTTAATGCTTGGCAGTAAAGTATTTCTTTACTACAGGCCTCTGCATGTATCTATTAGTCCAGCACTTCTCTAGGTGTGTTTTCTTAGAGGTTGTTCTGTCTGTCATTCCTTGAAGACATTTTAAAAACAGTCCCTCTTTCACAGAAGAATTGATAATTACCATGATTTGTATTTGCCGGTCTTAAGATTGCGAGGACTTCAAATATATTTACAGATAGTTACAAAAGAAGATGTAATATGCTTTTGTCTAGGTAAATGATGATCATAAATGAGCTTCCCTGGCAGACTTCTTGAAGAGTATTATTGATGCTTCAGATCCCTGAAATACAAACCATGGCCGTCCAACAATTACAATGCCTGACCCCAAGTACAGGCAAGATGTCACTGCAGCCTTATCTGCAGTGGACCATATTCCAGAACCTAGGGGCTCTGCCAAATACTATCTGCTTCAGAGGTGAAGAAAATCACTGTTTTATATTTGTGTAATGAGAATCTCTGAAAGTTAGAGGCTCACTGTATGGGTCACAGCTCCTTGAGAGCTATCTATTAAAAATCATAGACATTCTTTGTCAAACCTACCAGTTTGACTCCAGTTGATCTGTTAATGTTCTATTTTGGTAAATCAAAGCTTAATCGTGCTAACCTTGAAGCACTTCTTGACATGACTGGATATTGGTGTCTCAAGGGCCATTGTTAATAACATTGGATACCCCGGTGTGCACCAGTACTTTGAGCACTGGCAAACTGTGAGTGGCTGGTGGTGTGTGGTGCAGGATTCACTCCCAGCCATGCACTGATGTTAGCAGAAGGACAATTCCTGCCACATCTGTGAAAGTTGATTAAGGATGAAGATGATTTAGATACCTTATTTGTGTTCAGATTTTCAGACAGACTGATGTCAGATTCGTTGCTATTTCAAGGGAAACTGCCACCCTGATTTTTGTAAAAGATTTTTTTTTTCTCTCTTGGCTCAAGACTGTCATAAGTTGACCAGTGACTGCTTTTTTTTATTGAAATAACTTCAGAAATCTAAAATAAAGCTTTTCAAACTTAGGAACTAAGCTGCAAATAAAGAGGGAGTCATTATGATTTGGGAAGAGAGGAAAAAGGAATTGTGCTGTGAGCCAAAAGGAGTTGGTTGAACTTCTAGCCTACCATTCTTTTTGAAAGTTTTAAGCACTAGAGTGATTTAGTACTGTTAAGAGTTTTTGCTGCTTTTATCCTGAGAAGCAAAGCTTAAGTGTGAATCTTGAAGACCTAACTTCTGAGAAGAAGAGTGTTTTGGGTAAGTAACTACTACCTCACGTTGCCTTGTTACCTCTTGGTTAGTGGTATTCCTTTTTGTAATTATGCCACCAAACACTTATAGCTATATTTTTTTTCTTTAGGCATTATTCATAATTTTTACATTTCCACATGTTAGTGTTCATGTGTGCATATCTCTGTTTCTAATTTAGGATCATTTTTCATGAAAAAAATACACGTATTCTTCCTATTTGGCTAATTCTTCATTGGTGTATTTCCCATCTCTTTTGCAGAAGAGGAGAGAATAGAATGGAATGGAATGGAATGGAATAGAATGGAATAGAATAGAATAGAATAGAATAGAATAGAATAGAATAGAATAGAATAGAATAGAATAGAATAGAATAGAATAGAATAGAATAGAATAGAATAGAATAGAATAGAATAATTCTGTGACATTACCCAACCATTAATCTAACCCTGCCAAATTAATCCAATTCCGAGGTCCTTATAACCTGTGATATTTGTATGATAAATGACTATCATTTATTAGATTAATGGTAGTAGAATATACCTTTAGTTAAGAAATAATCGATCCTCAGAATGTTGTAGCATTAAGAGTTTAAAATCATCAAATATTGGGAAAGACAGAAACCTTAGTTTTGAAAGGTAATGAAATAGTGAGAATGATCATCCTAAAAGTACTTCTCACAATGAAAAAAGTAAAACTTCATGTTGTCTCAACAAATACTCAAAGGCTGAATTATTAAAATCCAATACCGACCCAATGATGTCAAATCGCAGTGATTTTTCAAGAGCACATAGATAAATTGCTTTTTTGTCTGGAAAGACAACTCCTGAAAAATTCTTCTTGCATTAAGACTCCTGTTGACAGTATTTTGAAAGCAGAGCCTACCCTTAAGGCCTTCACAGAATCATTATAGATTTAGTGTGGAAAGCCAGGCCCACTAGAGTTGAGGCCACTGGAAACACTGATAAGCTTCTTTAAATGTATTGCATATGTAAATGTTATTTAAAATATAAAACCAAGAGAAATGAACAGCCTGCTGCCAGTTAGGGGTTATTATTGTCTACTAGGTTTTTTTTTCACTCTCTAAGATAAAACCAAAGGCCTGTTGGGAATAACTAGGCTGTTCATCTAGGCATTTGTCACCAGTGTGCCCTACATAGTGACTGGGTTCTGGTCTTACATGTGTTCTGCATCAATGGGCTGGGCCAGTCTTACTCATCTTTAAACCAGCTCAAACACCTTTTTCTATTTGCATGGAGAAAAAGGGATCCTTGAGTTAAGTACATGGCAGGATGTATTATAATTTATCAGAGTCTGCTAAAATGGAAAATGCAATTAGTATTCATGTAATGTAAGATTTTGTCTGGGAATGGTGCAGGCTAAAGACACCTATGAGTAAACTCAGTAATTCCATTGCTGGTTCAGAATGAGAAATGCCCTGGTGCTAATAATGGTCTAATGTGCTTTGCAGTGCCATTGTTCAGAGATTAATTAGTGCTTTTCTGTTTTTGATTCTTTCACTTATTGAACAGTGATGTAAATACGTTCACATCTTATTTTCTTCCCATTCATGGGGCATACTGTGACTTTCTTCTGTGGACAGTAAAAAATGAAATTTTTCAGAACTAGAACAAGCTGTAGCTGAAGAATGGAAAACTGAATTTTGATACATATTCTGCTTCTTAGAATCATCAACTTATCAAAAGTTTGGCCTCCATTTTTAAGTTAGTTTGATGCACATGGGGTTTCGTACCCATGGGACCCAGTCTTACATTGTTGCCAGAGAATCACAATCTTGCAGACTTCAGTGAAGAGAAAGGTCTTATTTTCTTAGTGTGTAGTATGTGAAATACAAAATTGGAACATAACTTCTAAAACGGAGAAAAGGGAAGAAATTTAAAGAGCCGTCCTGTTTTTAGCTAATACATGAAGCAAGCAGTTACACTGATTTTTATAGACCAGTAAGGTAGGGTGTGATAGAGTTACTATTTTGGTCTAGCATTCCTCAGTCTACCAGACTAGTGGCTAGAGGCTCACTTGGAGATGAGTTAACTGGGAGTGGTGTGCTGCACATATCCATGGTGGTGTGCAGATTCATAATTCTGGAACTGTAGCAAAGTTGGTTATGATTTTTTTTTTCAGATGTGTGTGTTTCATAAGATCAATAGTTAGAGTGACCTTACAGCATAGCAAACTCTGAAAATGTAGTCATGTGCTGTCTGTCCTAGATACTGTGTAACCTGTTCAACATTTTTTATGTCCTTTTAGACCCACCTTGCCAGACAGAACTCAGCAACATTCAGAAGCAGCAAGGAGGAAAGAAGCTCCTAGGTGAGCCATAGATCATTCTTTTGAAGGTTTTATTACTTACATAAATAACCCTAGTTAAACAGCAACACAAAATCAATATTAATCCAATGAAGATAGACCACAGTAAATCTCAGCAGCAAAATTTATGAAATTTTTGAAAGCTATTAAACTTGGTTTTATGATGTTACCTACCAAAAGCTCTTACATTTGTGTTACTATCCTGATAGAAGGTACATTTTTACAGTTACAGAAGGGACAGCATAAGGTACTTCTAAAGTAGTATTTTTGCTGATCATTTAACTGTAATATTCTGTAAGTAATTTAAATCTTTGTTGTGAATCAGTTTATACTGCATCAATATTTCTGAAGTGTAAAGTCTTCATTTACCACTAGTTACTTTGTAAAAGCTGCAATAAAAGGCTTGGACCCAAGCAGTCAAAACTGTATCCTTATTTCTCATAAAGATGGTTTCTAACAAGAACTGTACACTTCAAATGCTTGCATATGAATATTTTGTTCTTTGTGGTCTCCATTTGGTCCAAGTGATAAACAGTGGATTATTCAGCTGTAGGCAAGTCACTGCCTCACAAAATAAGCCCTTTCTATACATATAAATGCAAATTTAGTATTAATTTTTTACAGTTCTCTATGGTGTGTTCTGTTGCATTCATCTTCTCTGGTGGAATAATTGCATCTTAGTGTGTAAATAAGTGTTTTTTAAAATACATATTAAACACAAATAACTCCTTGTAGCAGATAGTTTGTTAGGAAGTCTGGCCTTTACTATTCAGACTTGTTTGTAGTCCACAGATGATAGAACGTCCCGTTCACGAGTGGGCCCTACATTTCAACCCTTTCACCAGAATACAGTGAAAATCTGGACCGAGATATTCAGGGAGTAAGAAATATGTATCACAGGATCAACCAAAAATTTAAAGCAAGATCACTCACTTGATTTCTTGAAATCAGTCCAAGACTGATTTGTGTCACTTTCCCTCCCACATTTGATACTTTCAGTCACTTTGAGTCAACTGAATTTAGTATTACTAAAGCAGTCAGCGTAGAGTCTGAAATGATGAAGCAGCAAAAGGTAGTTGCTTTCTGCTATAATTGTGACATTGGCCAAGACATGGATTTTAATACACTTATTCAACATATATATCTATATCTATCTATCTATCTATCTATCTTGCAGGGCAGTACATCCCCTTCTGTGATGAGGATGGGTATTACAAGCCAAGTCAGTGCCACGGAAGCCTAGGGCAGTGCTGGTGTGTGGACAGATATGGCAATGAAGTGTCAGGATCCAGAACAAATGGTGCAGCAGAATGTGGTAAGCTAAGAACTTTCTGTGGTGTTCCGTTTAGAGGTGTTTTTCCCTTTGATTGACAACCAGGTTAAATTTCTTCAGTAAGAAGTGTGGGACCCAACTACATGGATTTTGATACAAAACCCAACAAATTATAATTTCCTATTGTTATTGCTTAATTTTATTTTTTTTTTGGAGCTCCTGTCACTGTGTCAACTATTAATAGACTCCTTACATGTGCTTGGCATAGTGTATATAAACCCAGGAAAAATTAATTTTCTAGAGCAGCATTAGATAAGTCCCAGAATATTTCATGAAATTCCTTTGGGTAATCGGCATGCAAGTGAATTCTGTTTGACATTTTTTTCAGTTTATATTTGAGGGAGTTACCAAAACTTTTTAGCACACTAAATCTTCCCTTATTTTTCCCTTCCCTACAGCACTGTGCAGCTTCTTCCAAGAATTCCCATGTCACCTTTATTTGATGTCCCAGATATAAAAGATGAAAAAAAAAAGTACTTTTCCTCTTTTTTTAAAAAAACAAAAACAAAAGTCATTCATGACTCCTTTTCACTTCTTCTCCAACAAAAGAACATAGCCTGAAGCAGAGAGTAAATTGTACACAGTATTTGAGGTACAAGCTCAGGCCTATTGTCCATCTGATGCAGAATCATTCCTAGATAAATGGACAGTTTTATATAGTTCAAGACAATATGTAAGAAGTGAACAATAGTCAGGGTATATTATCGGTAGTCCTTATTGTCATCTGTAAGTTGGACTTAAATTTTTTCACTTGTTCCTAGCACTCATTATAGTTCTACAAATCCATAAAATTTGTTTCCTTTTGTTAACATTGAGAAATTAATTCAAAATTGAGGTGGATTTTTTATGACAAAAGAATCGTCATATTATTTATATTTTGTTTTTATGTAACACTCTGTAGTTGTCCTGAAAGTAAATATTCTGGTGTGCCTTTTGTATGCTTATGTAAAATAATCTGTAAATATGTAGTCTATCTTGTGAGTCTTTTCTATAACTATCATACCTTTTTAGCTATTGATTTAGAGACTTCAGGTGATTTTGCCTCTGGTGATTTCCATGAATGGACAGATGATGAAGATGATGAAGATGAAATTATGAATGATGAAGATGAAATTGAAGATGATGATGAAGATGAAGGGGATGATGATGATGATGACGATGATCATGATGGATATATTTGATAATATTAAGAGGTCCATAATGTTGTACCTTTCTAAATTTGACAAGATGATATTTCATAAAATCCCTTTGCTCTCCGAGATCAAAAGGGTTCTAATAATTATGTATATTTTGTATGATTATTTCAAACATTGCAGCTGGAGTCATAGACTTCTTTTGTTTAAATAAGAATAATTATATCATGTGCTTTTGAGTTTTTAAATGCCGTTGCACTGAAGAGAACACATTGGAATTCTAGCCTGAAGAAAAAAATGTTATGTGCTACTGAAAATATATCTATGTGCAAAACACTAGAAAGCCAACCAGTCTCTTCAAAATTCTGCTGAAAAGATATTTGCCCTTACTTGGAACTGTGCATGTCCTCTTCAGAATGCATACTGTGACTTAACTTCAGTTCTGTCAGTGTTTTAGGCCCTGCAGTTGTCCATTTAATGAATCAGACATGTATTGCAGTAAAAAACATTGGTGCACAGGTAGCATCACGACCACCCTTTAATTACCGAAGGTATGGAGAAAAATCAAGAGGGAGAACTGTAGCAAAGTCCTCCTTTGGGTTTGCATTTGTAGTTATGTTTTTATTAGGAAATGGCTAGATTATTGAAAGGGTTTTTCAAAAGCAGTAGCATGGACAAGCACCAGTTCTATAATTATAAAATTTTTTTGTCCTTTTTTTTTTCGTTTCATGTAAGCTTTATCATTATTTACTTAGACATTGCTTCACCTTTTGTGGTTTTTCTGTATTTCTCTCTAATCAGACTAGCATAAAAAATTTACATTGGGAAAAAGATTTGCTTAAAATTGTATTACCTTTATACATGACTGTATTTCAGAGTATTGTCACTTGCCCCAAGGTAGTTTTTAATAAATGTATAATGATGCTTTTTATTTTCTTATTTCAGGAAATAGTTTTGCTCTTTATCTTAATTCATTGTTGTTTTCTGTTATTAGTGCAGAAACTTATAGAACGTATTGTAAAGGTGCCTTGCAAAATAGAACTAGAGAGGTTTTAGCATGCATACCAGTATAGGATGTTAGGCAATAGCTAAGCACACCCAATTACCAAATTAATACCAGTATAGGTACTGCTGCTGGAATGAAGAAAATGGATTATTTTAATTTTTTCCTATTATTATGTAATTACCATGTGGTCTAGATTATACTTACTGTGTAGAGTAGCACTTAAGATTTTACTGTAGAGAAAATTACTTTAATCACTGTATTTATGTTAGCATGTTAATTAATTGTGTAGACATTTTGGGACTCCACCATCTTCATTCATATCCTATCTGTTTCTTTCTGCCCACAATAAAATTGACATGGCCTGTATAATGTATTACTACAGGTTGTATAATTTAAAAATTAATCACTGGTTTCCCATCATTAATAAAAGGAAAATGAGATTCTTATTTGAATTAATTTCTAAATAATATTTGAATTATTTCTAAATACTAAATCTAATGTTTATCTTATGTAATATTGAAAAGTATAATGCATTTTCTTTTTTACTGTTTCTGTATAGTTTGCAAAATAAAAAATCTTGTAACCAACCTTTGGCCAGTATAGCCCATCATTTTGACTTTTTACATAGTCTGAAATTTAGAATCAGGAGGAATTCATGTTTCAGATGCATTTTACCTAATAAAATATGTATTTATTTGAATAAAGCCATTCATGTTTTATTTCCATTAAAGAATAATTGAGTAGGGCAAAACACATAGGGGAGCTTCTGGTTTTCTGTAATTTCCCTGATTTTTCTATAGCTTTGTTATGTACTTTTATGACATTGTCTTCATTACATAGTAAAGAAAGAGAGAGACTTCTTTTCAAGCTCTGTAATAATCTGTGGGGCATAGTTGTGTTATTTTCTTAAATAGATAGTTAAGAGTTTACCATTCTGATAGTGGGATTTTGTGAGAGAACAGTTTCTTATTACTGAAATTCACTGATATATAAACTGATTTTAAATAAAGAAGCTAAAGAAAAGGTGTTGTCATTATTGACTGATACAGTAAGTACTGTTGTGGGGAATTTTTTGTATGTGACAAATGGTTATTAGATGACAAACTGGAAATGCATTTCATTAAAACTTGTGATATTAGGAGAATTAAAGAGAATTCATAATGTGTTTTGTCTAAAGGGATTGCAGTACGAAGACCTTTTTGAAAACAACTGTCATGCAGAAGAGCCTGAAAGAAGTTTATATTCTTTCTTTCCTGAAAATTCCCCACTGAACTGAAAGAGGAGTATAGATGCATTATAGTCCCTGAGTATTAAAGCTACTTAGCATAAATTCAGAAATAACTCGGGATAGTTAAATTCACTTAAGAACAGTGACAGTGGGGAATACGGATAATTTTGGGTTATTTTTATGGTCCAAAAGTAAAGCAGAGAAACAGCGAAAAATTGGATTGTTACATATTCCTGAGGAAAAGCCAGAGAAGAGGCTGATACAGTGTAAGTCTTCTTTGAAGACATCCTTCTGTTTTGTAAAAGATAGGGAACTGTATGTCGATTAGTATGGTGGTATTGCATACCTTTCATGATACCAAAGGAACTGGAAACTACTTCACTGTGCACTTCTTTCCTACATTTAAGAAATGCAGGAAATCAGGAGCAGCTAGAATAATTAAAGGCTGGTAATATAAACATACTAAAAACTTAAACCATTCAGAAGCTTTTTCCTGCTTTCTATAAATTGCAAGAATTTGCACAGATGTCTGTCCTCATGACTACAGTCAGGCAAAGAAGCAGTTGGGAGTCCTTGACTAATTTTAGGGTGTTGCCGTCATTTGTTGTTTTTTCTTGATCTTACAGTTCTGCACATGTATTTATAGATAGGCACAGATCATGATATAAATTTGGAGATTTTCAGACACAGTGTTTAAATCCTTGTGCTCTTCTGAGAATGTGTGGAATTTTTAATCTTAGTTTCATTGAAAAATAAGGAATACCAAATTATATAGTCTTTAAAAAGAGTATTTTGGATCGAGGCATGGATATGTTTAGTTTAGAAGGAAATTAATTAGTGTCATTAGTTTGCTTATACAAGAATCGGATTATTGTACAAGATGGAAGAAGATGGCTCATAATTGATAGCAGGAAAATTTTTGCCTGTTTTGTGCACATGGACAAGACCTGGATTTCCTTTATTTTTACTTAAAAATTCCACTGCCCAGTAGAATAATAAAAGGTTATCAGGATGTGGATTAGCTTTATGCTTCAGAGAAAATTAAAAAGTACTTTTATTTACAGATTCTTCTTGAGAGCAGTGAACATATTTCTAATTACTAAAAGCTTTTGAAAACTGGATTTAAATAAAGCCATAGCATTACAAATTTATTTGAAGTACTGTAATTTTTTAACTGTTTTTTCAGCTAATTTAAATATATTGGTTGCAGAATATTCACAATTTCATTTCAGCAAGTGCAGTGGACAATAGTTTGTCAGCAAGTACCTGTGTGAAGAGACATTGGTATTGACAAGAAAATACAATAGATTGGAAGAATCTAACTGAACCAGGTACCACTGGGTGAGTAATTAAAACACCAAGCTTTAAAAAACTGAGCCACCTCCTGAAGGCAAATACAATGCTGAATTAAACCTTTTGTCACAATTGGATTTCTGTTAAGACAGTGTCTCTGTAGTTGCTGTGCAGGAGGGGTACAGTTTGCTAATTTGTTCATTCATCCAGTCAAATGGCAGAAGAAATTATTGTGAAGTTAAGAAACCAGAGCAAGAATGGGAAACGGTTGCCTAGCCTAAAAGATGACACCTCCACTTGGATTTTTTATTGTGTTTCAGATGCTAATTGAATCAAATCCTGAAAAAGAGACTTCTGTGCAGTATGTGTCACCTTGAAGGTGAGTTACAAGTGATATCTGTGTGGCCATTTTTAAAAAGAATCTCCATGCCATGGTGTTAGTAATAATGCAAGACACTTTACATTTTTTTCACCAGCTTTCCACACAACTCCATTGCAAAATTTGATTAAAACTTCAGACAGGGATATGCACAAAACTGGTGCTCATGCCTGTAACCATTTTTACCAAGGTGGTTGAAATTTATTGGTTAAGATCAAGATGAACAGAAAGATCACCTCTTCACCCTCTGCCCATAACATTCACAGCTGTTTTGTAAACTCGTGGAGCATCCAGCAGCCTACGGAATTTAAAAAAAGATCAGTACAGGTCCTTCCAATTCCAGTTCAGGTCATTATTCTGCTCATAAGGCAAGTGTCATTTTGAAAGAACTGGCTGTAGCCAGCCCAAGGCACCGATGGGTCTGCTCTGGAGGTCTTGTCATTGATGTCAGATACACATTTTTGGGAAGACTCTCCAATTCCTTTCCCTTTTCATAGTTTTATTTACTTCACAGACTTACATACTAATATGTTTCTGTGAGATTGTCGTCTGATCTTTGGTCTCTGTGAGGAGATTGGATCTCTTCTGCTGTAAATGTAATGCTTCTGATGGATTCCATATACCTGGGGAGGCTGGAGGGCCACGAGATGATTTCTTGAGTCTTGGGTGTAAGAGAGTGTTGGCTATTAAAATATGTTGATTCTGTTTGAAACCTAGCAAAGATTACTGAGCTTTCCACCTGTTTTAAAAAACACCTGGCAATAGCAATGTATAGGAAGAATCCAGTTTTGCAGTCATAATGCCATGATTCTTCCTTTTTTCTTAAAAATAATGCAGTTTCTTGAAAGTACAGTTTAAGTCATGTTTTATTGGTTGTGTGCATTATGCAAAACATCTTCAGAACTTGTTCCGTTTTATTATACTTCTGCAGTAAATTTTATTTTAATGCACATTAATTCCATTGTGCTGCATTAGTGTTAAGGAACTGAAACATGCTTTAATCCAGGATATGTTGGGTGAAGTTTTTATTTGTTTTTTTTAGTGTAAGCATTCGTTATTGAAGTAAACAAAACTTTGAGATGGTTTTACAGATAGCACCAGTAAAATCCAAGCCAATTTACCCAAAGTAAAAAATTGCTGTAAAAACCATGCTTGGTTTCTAGGAGGCATACATTTTAGCACTGAGTATGAAATGGTTAAAACTGACTTAAGAATTCTTACAGCTGTAACATCTGTGGCAGCCACCTGAGAGAAACAAATGTATCTATAGGAAGTTATAAATGTCTTTATTTTGTGTTGGGAGGTTTTCACCTTTGCTTACTGC